TCATCAAACATTTTGTCTAACAATGACCGAGGCGCTGCGGAGCGTGCACAAAGAAGCCAATGAAAAAAGGCTGGCACAAATGAAAGATGGCGGACAACAGCAAAAATGAGAGCAGGAGTTTAAAATGTAAAGCTAATGTATCAATCGTTTTTGTCGCGTTATTGGAGGATTAAAGAGTTTTTATGATTTGTGCGTGCGCATCATGTCAATGTTGGTTGAACATCAAGACGAGGTAAATGTTGGTTGAACATCAAAACGAGGTCAATAATGGTTGAACATCAAGACGAGGTCAATAATGGTTGAATATCAAGACGAGGTCAATGTTGAGTGGTCAAACAGACCAAATATTTAACACAATAATGAAAAAACAATTTTTTTTTCACTTCCATCAAACTTCATCCAACATCGCTCAACAAATGTTATTCAGCCAAAAAAGATGGCCAAACAATTTGTTCTATAAATGTTAGGTAAAATGTTTGGTTTGTTTGACGGGCATCTTGTAGTGACCGTCCTTTGTATTACTGTCATTGAAGCTAAGAATTGTCACTTTGTTCACCATGACAAACTCTCAGACAAAGATTTGTACGAATATTCATTTCTACGAAATTTAAAGTGGTCATAAAGTTTGTCATGCTGAAAGGTTTTGTATAAACTTTGCAATTAAATTTTGTTTGTAATGTAAATTAAATTACATCTCAATCTGTATTCCCATTGCAAAAGAAACCAAAGGAAAGGTTAAAGTCTTTTTTCACATGGGTATGCCCGGACAATTTTTGACAACAGTTGTTTTCCAAGTTAATAGAAAAATTAGTCCAAACAAAATAAATACAACTAATCATATATCAAAAACTCACCGTCACTGCCATTCTATGATACAAAACTAGTTTAAAATGGCCGGAATTGTTAAAGCTAGAAGACTTGAACTTAAGCCAGATGACCCTTTTGAAGATTCAAATGTGAAAGCAAATTAAAGCACATAGCCCTTGAAGCAAGTAACAAATATAAGAACGATAACAGGAAATTGCTAATTTTTTAAATTTTTATCTTGGAAGGGAACTTCGCTCAATGATTTGAGAAGCTGATTAATTTAATTACACGTATACTTTATAGGAAGCTAAGAACTTGAGTCAGTTGGGTACATGATTAAATTTTTGGTACTCGGAGTTTCCTGTAACTTTCTTAAGAGTCCAAAAACAGTTTTAAAGGAATGTGTGTATCAAAAACTTGAAGTTGTTTTGCTTTAGCCAAAAGACAAGCCATCAACATTTTTAGAAAATAAATTTGTCCGAAATGCAAAAGATATGTCCGATTTACTTTCGCCGACATTTATATTCTGAAGTATGTTATGTTCTGAAAATTTTTGTATTGAATGTAATCAACAACATATTTGCTGTGTCCCCTTTTCTATGTGTATAAGCCTGGTAACGTAGTCAGTTGAATTCATCAAGACGCAACGGTCATTCGTTTCTCAACCCCTACAAATCCACTAGCGACAATCAATCAATTAATTAAATTAAAATCAATTAATAAAGATATAACTAAGCAGACACCCCGGATGCCAGCACTACAAAATATATGACCCCCAGAATATAAGAGCTGCGGAGGCGAGGGAGAGAGAAAAGGGAGGAAGAAAGTGGTGAGTACTGCTTTGATTCTCTTCCTTTCTATTCTTTATCTTCCTCGCCTTCACAGCCCATTTTTTATGGGGTCATATTTCGGCGATTCTGGCCTATAGGGTAGTGGAAAGATAAAAACATTGGGAAAAGAATTTAGATAAAGGAGTAAGTAACCGTAAATATTCATTAAGTCATCTATCTATTAACTCTAATTCTTAAAACCAATATTTTCGAGCCACAAATACAACAATCTTCAAATTCTTTTGTAAAAAATATTTGACCACAGATTCAGATTAAGAGCAATTATTTTAGTCTACTTGGAAGTTTTCTTTATGGTATTGCTCACAACATATATTAAAATTTCAAAAGGGACTTGACCGTGGTGTACGACTACACACTTTTTTTGATAAGAACATCTAATTTTTTGCCGAGCCTCAATATTCTTAAAAACATTTTATTATGAACCTAAGATTATTCTTAGGTTATTCTTGCCCAACACAAGGTGTAAACTCGCCTTATGATCAAAGAAAAATATTAAATCTTCGTCGATGTGTTACTTGACCATGAATTTCAAAGTGAGAGTTGTTTTGCTTTGGGAGAAAACTCAGATTAAGGAAAAAATTTTGTCATGATGAAATTAAGCAAGACATTTTTTTTAAATTATTATTAAATTTCAGCAATTTTGAGCCTCAATATTCTTATAGATGTTTTTTTATAATAGAAGTGTGTAAGGGGGTAAAGTTTCACCCGGATTGATTTTTGAGGACAAATCACTTACAGGTTTTCAATCTTCATTTCTTCGTAAAAATTAAAATACAAGCGCAGACAATATGACAAATGGTAGACAAATCTGAGCTTAAAAAGGTCTCATAAAAAGTGTCGATAAATTTCCAAAACGAAACCGTGAAGTTAAATTTGTGTATTGCAATAAAATCTATAGAGAGTAATATAAAGCTTTATTTTTCTTTTAATTCTCTTGAATTGCTGGATAGCTTTTCAAGCATTTCCTGAGATAATAACAGGCTAGAAGCAAAGACATTTTGATAAAATATCGCTTTCAAAGCATCAACCTGCTTGATTTCTGGTTTTATTGACGAAATATCGTAGGGGTACCTTTAAACCTAACTGCAAACAAGGAAATCTCTTTGTAATATGAATGTCTATTCTTTATATTGCAGGTAAAAACAGCGTTTGCAGCTAAAAATATTCAGTGCATTACATTTCAATCAGTCTAACGGTAACAAGACATAATGTTGTCGAGAGGTTGAAAGCAAGCTTTCTCAACTATTACTTCGAACTTTGAACCAAAGGTAAGAATTGCATAAGTTGCTGTTAACGCTTTTAAACTATAAATGAAAAATGAACGACTGGAAGTTAAAAAATGGGAATAAAAGTACGCAATGATTTGAAGAAGTTTACATTTATCTTGAATTTGACGTAACGGACAAATGTGTTTTGCTAAATTAAACAAACACTGTATACTGTATCGATTCTTTAAAGGGTCCATTATATAAAGTAAATGAGGTTAATTTGTTCCTAAGCACTGAATGCATTAAGCAAAGTTTCAGGGTTCTAAATTTCTGCACCAGATATTGTGGCAACAGTGGAACAAAGCCAGTGTAGAACCTGGCCGCACTGGAATGGTGCTAGTGTCTATAAACTATTAATTCAATTTGATGTTTTGAAGAGATTCAACTGCAGATCTGATCAATGGTGAAACATGTTTCTTAGTCAATGCAAGGTTTCAACGTTGCTCCTTCTATGAGATTCCACAAAAGAAAATGTCTTATTAATGCTGTTTGCATGTTCCCTTCCCTTAGGTAACATAATTCATCAGTTGAAAGACTTTATTCCTTTTGGGAATACTTTTGGGCGTTTTAATCTTATGCGTCATCTCAGTGGAAAACAATGGCAAGAAGCTATCTTCTCTCTGTTTTTAGCTAGTGATAATAACAGCTATTTCTTTCAACTTGCAGAAAATAGACGTTCGAAGAAATGCCCTTATAGGTTTTATGTTCCTCTTTATCAAAATATTCTTACTTTTAAATCTAGCTAGTGGATTGATTCAAGACTTTGTCCCATTTTAGAGCCTCCGTGAATGGGCTTGCCTAAGATCTAATACGAATCAATTTTCAAGCAAATCTCAAAATCTCCTAGTCCCAGACTGACTCACTTAATCATGCATTGTAGAAGAAAATTCTATGAATCATTATCAACGGGAAGTACCCTATGTGGGTCAGACCACACCTTATCTGACAACGAGCTCGACTTAACATTCAAAACACCTGAGTACCTATCCCCCCTAAGTGAATACATACAGTACTTTCTAGCTGTGGTTCATTTTGGGCAGTTTTAGGCCTGTGGTATGCGAAATTTGACTTGAGGCAATTAGCTATGATGCGTTTCTTCTGCGAAAAACTTCACAAGAGATTTGATTATATGGAACAATACAACAATGGGGTGCCATATTGCTCACGAGATTTGAAAGGAGTACGGCGATCAATGTCTCTATGTTCGACCTGCAGCGACAAATTAAGTAGAATACCAGTCACACCCTGCTGCACTATTCTCCCATTAGGCAATCAGTATGCAGACTAACACCAACAATACTCAAAGAAATAATCGTTGTCAACAAAGTTCGATAAATCTCTTACGGTAGTTTACATCGCAAGTTCTTAAGCTGCCAGGGAGATCAATGAGGCACATAAGAGAGTACCTAATATGTTATTCGAGGAAAGGGAATCTTTATTTCTTGGCGTCAGGAATCGGGATTTGGGAAATTTTTGTGAACGGGAATCGATAACACCTTGATTTGGGAATTGATGGTCGGGGATAGGGAATTGTAGTAAAAAGGTAGCCTGAATTCGGTATTAAAGGACCTTTTGGACACCTTCCTATAACAAAATCAAACAATTGCAATCCTATTTTCTAGAATACGCAAAGAGAGTCACTTTTTCTAGATTACTAAATAATGTGGCGTTGGAGATTGCGAACAGAGTTTTGACTTCCTATATTAGACTGTTATTTCTTGACAAACATTTCTACGTTCAATCTTTGAAATGTCTTGTGAAATCTTGGTATCCTCTGCCTCAATCACTTAAGAACATACTGCAATACTCCCCCTGTAGTTTCATTAAAATATGCACCCGTTCATTAAATTATTTATACCCTGAAATGAACCAAGATACTTTTTGAATAAGAACTTGATTCAGCAAAGTTGAGGTAAAGTGTGTTCCCATATACAGGAGATCATTAGTAGCTTTTTGTCGATATCACTTCCTAGGAAGAGTTTCAGAATTAAACAAGTTGAATTTGAAATTAAAGTAAGTTCAGCAATCATTCAGAAAAATTCGGATAGTCTATATTTTGTTTTCTATCTTTTAGATATTTTTGGTAGCAAGACTATTACAATGAACAATCTGCTAGGGTAAGAATATTTCCTTTTAATTTTTATATTTTGAATCGTCACTTTGATTTATCATTGTTCTCTTTCATCTAGTTCCAAAATAAAAATTATTTGAAAATGCTGATAAGATGCAAAGATGGCTAGAGATCTCATCGAAAAATAGTTGAAGATTAAACAAAACATTATTGTGACATTAAAACCAGTTACCGCGGAGAAGACCGAAGGCAAAAGGCTCAACCAAGTCTCCGTAGGCTCGACAAGTACATCGGCCGAAATTATTGGAAAAGTAAATTTTTCTGCTCATACCCAGGGAGCCGATTTGAGTTTCGATGTTATTTTCTGCGATGAAAGAAGACCTAGTTGATTTCATACCTTATTATTTTTGCGTGATAAAGGCTGATGCATTTTTCTCCTTATGAGCATTTTTATGATCAAAGCTTATACATGTAATTTGCATGCAGCCTTGGTCCCTCTTTTGAAAACATAGGCTTTAAAAATGCAGGTCATCCGCAAAACCCTGAACCTGAGTGTAGACTTGAAAAGCAAGACAATGATGTGAAAACTATTGCCTAGCCCGTTTTTGTTAATCAAAGGAGGCCTTCTGTTCGCAAATATCAGCTGAGTAAAAAGATTTAAAATTTTCATTATGGTTTAAATAAGATAACTGTCTCTATCATGGAACAGTGATGGCACAGTTTCAGAAGCACTAGCTTACTCCCATCCTCGTGTTTTTATTTGCAGGTTTGCTTTGGTTCTCAATTTCTTGCTAACAGTAAATGGGAGAATTCTTCGCCTCCCGTGCATGATTGATGCTGTATTTGACGTTGTTTTTATCGACAAACGATTTCAAGGAGACAGTCTGGCTGTTTTTAACAGCATTGATGACCAAGGATGCACGTTGAAATGCGCAGAGAACCATAAATGTACATCATACAATTATCAATGGATAAACAAAACATGCGAAATTCTTCAGAAGTATGTGCAACAGGATAATAGCACCGATTTACTGGAAGCCAATGGTTGGATTTTCAAAACAACAAACTACAGTAACAAACTTGTAAGTGTTGATTAATTAAGCATAGCATAGCATAGCATAGCATAGCATAGCATAGCATAGCATAGCATAGCATAGCATAGCATAGCATAGCATAGCATATCATAGCATAGCATAGCATAGAATAGCATAGCATAGCATAGCATAGCATAGCATAGCATAGCATAGCATAGCATAGCATAGCATAGCATAGCATAGCATAGCATAGCATAGCATAGCATAGCATAGCATAGCATAGCATAGCATAGCATAGCATAGCATAGCAAAGGAAAGCAAAGCAAAGCCAATTTAAAGCAAAGCCAATTTAGGGGACATTTTGCTAATAACACTTTTTTAACTTTCTAAGATTGGGCCAACGTGCAACAGCCTGAAGCCTTGCGATCCGGAAGATTTATGTCTGGATACATGCAGCCCGCCTTTCTATGAATGCATTCATTGTCAATCTCATTATCCTGAGCTCAAGTGTATAAAGCAGGCAGGTAGGTTATTGAGATAAAGCTGTTCTTTTTACCTATGCGTTGAATGCAAGAAGAAAATTATAAAGTCCAAAATTTTAAAACATTAGCCCGTCCTATTTTTCTACCAAAGAACTAAGGATTTTTTAGGTAATATTTAATTATCTGTTTCGTATTTATTTTCAAAATTTTGGTAAAGCATTTTACAAAGCATTCGATTTTTGACTAAATTTTATCAAGCTAATTATAGAAAAATTCCTCAAGGGAATAATTTTTTAATTTTCCTAGACGTGGATGCCTGTGCTAGCAACCCTTGCAAACATGCTTCACAATGCTGGAACAAAAGTTCGGATTATGAATGCACGTGTCTTGAGGGATATACAGGGAAAATTTGTGATATCGGTATGAGTCTTGTTTATTTACTCAATAATTTGTTTTATTGAATCTCTTGTCAGGCTACATTCTGTTGTGGAAAAATTCATATAATGTAATGTAATGTAAATTCGATTATTGATGTTTGATAACATGTAACATTGTATTCGATAAAGTTGCAAAATAATGCAACTTGTATTAGCTCTTAGCACAATTTTTATTAGATCTCTTATTAAAAACTAGATGATTAGCATGCATATTCTATTACAAGTAATACGTTTACCACAATAACGAGAAATCAGTATGAAATATCGTAAAGTTCAGATGTTAGTCAGGAGCTTAGGTAAATAGACAAATATTTAGTGCAAATATACCCATATGCTATCAATCGCCACTTTAATACATATATATGGTAGTTTATGTTTTGTTTCCAAATATTTTTGGTAGACTATTTTCAAAACTTATGAAATTTAAAACAAATTCACAATAACGAGTCAAAAATTGCAAGATATACTGTGGTTCTTCTTCTGAAACTGACGGGACGGGAGCCGACACCGCCCTAAAACGCCCTTGAGTATCTCTGATACCCTCTAAGACACCCATAACCAGAATAATTGGTACACCTTCTCGTCAATTTCCAAAACCTATTTCAATTTCCTGTCTAAGCATTTGTCACTATCGACTTTACAATACAGCCATATGTGGTTCCATGCCCACAGGCAGTGTGTACGTTGGCTTTGGATGATCCTTACATCTATGTCAGATTTTGACTTAGTTAATTAGACTTTTTTCTTTTTCTTTTCAAATTGCATTATTTTTTTCGCATAATTTTGGCATGAAAGGCGTAAAAGAAATTCTTAGAGAAGCTAGCAAAAATATTTTGTACAAATATAAAAAAGTGACGAAGGATACTCTTTTTCTTGTGAAAATGCCAAACAAACATTTCTTGAATTTTCTCACTTGCATAAGGTTTAGAATAGTTTTTACAACGTTGTGAAATAAAAAAGTATTTCTCTCTGAGGTTGAAAATAAAAATAGAAAATGATATATAATCTAAATAATTTTCCAGTTAGAAAAAAACGTTATTTCAACAGATATTGATGAATGCAAAAGCCTTCCATGTTTTCATGGTGGTACATGTTTGAATCAAATTGGAAAGTTTGTTTGTCAGTGTTTTCAAGGTTACAAAGGGATTCATTGTGAACAAGGTAACTGCGGAATGAAAAACAAAATTTTATCCCTTATTAATCAGTATAATTTTATTTGCAGTATTTACATAGCATAGCATGAGTCATATCAATGTTTCAAAATTGTTTTTTTATTTATATACGGCTTGATGACAAATTTATGATTTTTTATCTTTATACAAAACCAAATTACAAATGTCAATAAGCAATAAATTTTGTAAAACCATATCAATAAATAAACACCTTTTTACATTGTCCAACGTTTAGAACTCTATGGAGTATTAAACAAAAATCACATGAACAGAAACATGACAGTTACCTTTGTCATGTTTCTCCTTTTACGTGCCAATCTGAGAAAGAATATGCATTAATGGATATTAAATGTCATCATTTCTTTCTCGAGATTAAAAATTGTAGGAAAGAGTAAAACAACATGATTTAAATTCTTTTAACTCTGCTCTGTTTCTTAGATATTGTAGTAAGTAAATTTTTTTCGCTGTAAATACTTCCAGATATCGACGAGTGCCTTGATGGAACACACAACTGTAATACAAATGCAGATTGCACAAATACCTTTGGCTCTTTCAATTGCAAGTGTAGGACAGGCTACAGTGGAGATGGCATCAACTCGTGTATTGGTAAGACGACTACAATACTTGAGTTCCCATTTGAATCTGATGTAAAGATCGAGTATGAATAAAATGTGCAGAATATATATTCAATGTGAATGTAAGATTTACAATTCAATACCTTCCAACCATAATATACAATATCTGCCAGAAAATACTTGAAGTGCTGAGCAACTGTCGCTGTATTGCTATGTTTTCAATTCTATTTCCAAATATCATCACCTTCTCTCAAAACAATGTTCATATGGTATGCAATAATCATGCAAGGCACACGAAAACTATATTCCAAAACACTAACGTCGTTTAATAAAAAACATCATTTCATCAAAGGGAAAAGCGGAATAGCTGTGTCTTTTCTTGAAAGCTGATGTCAACTTTGATACTTTTTGCAGAGGTTGTAGCCTAAACGCTTTTGATAAGTTTTTATATTTTCTAATAGAACTAGAAAAACCAGCACAATGTTTGTTGCTTTGAATTATCTTAATAACCCTAAAACAAAAGCCATTTAGATAATAATGAAGCTTCAAACACCATGAAAAACACTGGGTCTGTATCGTAATTTTTCCAAAACCTGGTGTACTGCAAAAGTTTATTTTAGATGCAAAGTTTCTATAAAATCATGTTTTTCAAACTAATTTATTGCTCAATTTTTATATTTAGTCTGAGCAGGGCAGTTATATAGGTTAGGGCAGTTGTATGTACATCGTAATGCCAGCTTATATATGTTTGATTGCAATAAACATTTTCAGTAATGATTAAAATCATGATTTGCAGCAATTAATTTTTATAGAAAAATAGTAAAAAATATACTATTAGAACATACTTTTGTACAATACTCGTGATGTCTTGTAGATCAAAATATTAACATAAACATGTTTATTTATTGTAAGTATGATATATAAAAATAAATGCACACACAACTTTCTAATGATCGCATTAAGCCTGGAATTCTAGGTAGCTGCATAGAACTGTCCTCTTTTTTACACAAAAAGCTTATTGTTCATACATTGTTCAAAGATCAAAGTTTGCCAACAAGTAATAATTTGGATAATTCTCAAAAAAATATACATATGAGTGAGACAAAATGTAAAGAAAATTATCCAACATATAAGGATATCCTTAATTAGAAATAATTGTATCTAATTTGTATTAAAAGGTTCTTATTTTCTTAAAGAGACTTATTCAATGTTGCTCTGCAGTGTTTCCATATATCAGTTCATTTAATTTTGTTCCTTTCAGATGTGGATGAATGTCTTGGTTCCACGCACAATTGTCATACTAATGCAGATTGCACAAACATTGTTGGCTCGTTCACTTGCAAGTGTAAGACAGGCTACAGTGGAGACGGTGTCACCTGTACAGGTATCTTTAATTACTGCGAAATGCATGTATTCAATTCAGCTCATTATATATGACAAAAGCTGACAAAATGAGTTTAACCAGAACGAAGTCTATGCAGAAAATGAAAGATTACCGAATATAGTGGGACAAAAGAGAAACGAACGAGTCAAGAAAAATCTAACATAATGATAAAATGAGCGGGGAGGCTTGAAGGCCTTGCTAGGCAGGGAGGTCATCACTATCCTCTCCAAAAAATTCAGGCTGTCTAAAAATGTTTACCAATATCTCCAAAGTCACTTTAAAATTCATTGGCAAACTTTTCTTTTGCATTGTTTTGTTTGATTTCGTTTTGTTTCGTTGCCTCTCGTAATTTTAAGCTGAAATCTAACCCCTCTGGACAGAATTGATTACAGGGTTGCCTTTGAATCTAGAAAATCCCTAAGCTTTGCACCACATCTTATGTAAAATTTCTAACTCGAGGATAAAATACCAAAATAAAATGAAGGGCGAAAATCACCCTTAGAAATCATGCCATAAACATCAGAAAATTATTCACGATGCCGAGTTCCCACATCATCGAGAGCCAGTCTGGCCGTTGGTGCACCGATGCAAATCGCTAAGCCTATCACTAAACTTATACAGGAAATGGTCACTTAGTGATACACAGTAACCCGCAAATTTTTTGGCTGAACTTCTTATCTTTATCTTTAGATGTAAATGAATGTCTGAAAGGAGCACACAATTGTCATACCAATGCAGATTGTACAAACACTGTTGGCTCATTTACTTGCAACTGTAAGACAGGCTACAGTGGGGATGGAATCATCACATGTGCAGGTAAATTCTTGAAAATTCCCGAGCAACTTTATATAGTACATCACAAATGTAGTTGAATCAATTTCAAAGCATTATTTTCTTGGAAGCTACTTTTATTCAAACGCTTATCTAAAGAATATGCTGATTACAATGTGTACACGTTCAATCACATATGAATAAAAATAGGAAAGGGGAAGAGGAGAAAGAAAAAGAAGGAAGGAAGGAAGGAAGGAAGGAAGGAAGGAGGGAAGGAAGGAGGGAAGGAAGGAAGGAAGGAAGGAAGGAAGGAAGGAAGGAAGGAAGGAAGGAAGGAAGGAAGGAAGGAAGGAAGGAAGGAAGGAAGGAAGGAAGGAAGGAAGGAAGGAAGGCACGAAATAATTGATGTAAGTTATCATAATTTAAAGCAAGCGTATCAGCATACTTAAAAGGGTTTCTTGTAAAAGTTATAGTTGCAGAAAAACATTACCGAAAGCTTTCCTGTTTTCTAGATATAAGTGAATGTGGAGATGGCACCCACAATTGTCACGTCAATGCGCATTGTACCAATACTGTAGCCTCTTTCACATGCACATGCAACAACGGCTACAAGGGAAACGGCCAGTCATGTAATGGTAGGTGTATTTTGATAATTGCTACACATCAGATCTAATAAAAGTATATTTTTTAAGGGCATAAAGCAAGTTCCTTTGATAAAGGTTTATTTTTACTAAATTTCAATACTTTATCTTGCATGCTTTTTGAAAGATTATTCGGATCCTAGAAAATATTATCTGTGATATGAGTGCTTCGACGTTGGAGGCTGTTCCTATTACCATAGAAACTGGCTGTTTCTAAAAGTATAGATATTTTAAAGCATAATAATGAGAATTATTGCTACTTTATAATTTATCGTTGACAAAGTTTCCACGAGATACTACAGTTTGTATTGCATAATCAGTAACATTTTGAAGCTTCATTTGAAAGTGGTGACATTGCACATGCCTAATAAAGACATTTTTTAGTTGTGCTATCACTCTTCATGTCTCGTATTTCAGATGCAAATGAATGCCAGGATAACACATATAATTGCCATTCTAATGCTCAATGCAAAAATACAATTGGCTCATTTACATGCACATGTGAAGAAGGCTACAGTGGCAATGGCGTTGCGTGCACTGGTACAACTTCTTGTTATTTGCATCAATTTCAATTCATCTCTCTCTGACAGCATTACTCCCTAATAATCTTTTTTAATTATCATTCTAATGTTTCCATGGTGTAGTACACATAGCTTGTTGATTAGCATTTAAAAGAAATGTGAAATTTTGTGACTTATTTAGAGACACTGTTTTTCTTATGAGAAAGATTTCTTAAAATCATTTAGCAGTCGTCTGTTTCTTCCTTCGCCAAAAGTAGTGTTTTCAAGAACAGGATCAATCTTGATATTCAAAATTCTACTGATAAAGCCTCAACAAATTCTGATATGTTGCAATCTCTGCTAGATATATTTTTTTGAAGACACATGCTGTGAATTTATGTGAAAAAATTGTCTTTTCAAGATATAGACGAATGTACAACAGGAGTGCATGGATGTCCATTACAAACTCGATGCATGAACACAGTTGGAATGTTCCTTTGTACTGGTATGAGAGTGTTATTTGTAATTAAATTGCTTTTGTTAGTTTTTGTTTGTTGACCCTCTTCAGAGAACTATTGTATGTTAAATGTTACTAGGCGAAGCACAAATTGTCAAAAAGCACTTTTAGCTATATCTCAAATGAAACTCTTTACGTCGAACCTTTCTAAAATCCTGGTAATGTCATTTATATGACTTTTATTAAATACTTGAATGAAACGCTTTTCTGCTGCTAAAATTATAAAGTCATTGAACGATACCTATATGTGTCCTCTCCAATGCATATGCGCTTCACGCCATTCACAGCTAGGCTCTGCATGTCCGCCATTACACTGTAGCATTTGAAACGCATATGCGTCTCAGCCCATGCAGAAACGCTTAGTACACCTTGAACCACCAATGAGCAGGAGGACAGGCTTGAGTAAAAGAACATTTGAAAAGTAATTCCCATCTTTTTAGAATTATTTCTTAATTGTCATTTCATTTTTATTTTCTGTCACTTATCATTTCGTTTCTTTTTTTATTTTTATCCAGGTACCTTAAAAATTAGCTAAATTTTGGAATAAAATTTTTTTTAAATTTTTGAGAAATGTCGTCATGAATAAGGCAGTACATTCAAAATTTTGTATGAGCTCATTGATAACTAAGAACTGCCGATGTCAAGGGTGCCTTTATGAAATAAGCTCATTGGCCCCACCTCTATTCCACTAATTCCACTATTCAAGTCGTCTGGTCAAAATACATAGTTAACAACTCGGTTACGGAAAGTAAAGGATGAGCCCTCTTCGTGACAACCATCTTTTTGTCTTTTTGTTTCTTTTTAAGGCTCTTTCCCATCTTTGTTTTGAGGAGGGGGGGAGGGGGGGGGGTCTACGGAGTAGGCTAACGTTTTTCTGGCAATGTGTATTTTTTACATGTTTTGTTAGACATCTACAATGATGATTTACGTCCCTTCTCTTTTTGGGTTTTTTACTGCTATTGGTTTTTGACACGTGTCTCGAAGTTTTCTGATTTCATGATATTGAAATGATACCCTCCCACTGCCCTTACAACAATCGGATGCACTTTTGCCACTTTGAGATAAAATCAGGCTCTAGATGATTATTTTAAGTTCATTGATTAATCTTTGTTCCACTATTTATTCTTCAACCCCGTGGAGTGCAATAAACACCATTCAGTTTGTAATTTTAACATTGCAAATTGACTTTAAGCACGGAAGTGGTGTGATGAAATGAATACATTCTTGATAATTTGAGACTGCAATGGCGATTTCAGCCTGGGATAAGTGGGGAAAAAAAGGTGTGTCACGGACAACGCACTTTTGAACCACGCCCCTTCCCCTGTTTGAAACTTTTTCTTCCGGAGGAAACACCTGTTGTATCCCAAGAAATGTCATTTACATGTGACGATCTAGATAATGTACATATCCCCCCCCCTGAAGATTTCTCATCAGGTTTGCAAGAATTTCGAGGACCAACTTTCTGAGAAAGTTGGGGGGGAGTAGCCCCCCCCCATTCCCCCTTGTGGCTCCACCTCTGTAAGACTGGTGTCTTGCCAGAAACTTGACGACATTCTCACTCTTTCTTCTGCACATTTTCTGAAAAGTATACTTTTCTGCTTGCTGGTATATCAATTTTCAAAAATCAAATTCCATCTGTACCACCATTTCAATTTATGTCAACGGCAGAAGGTGCAAATTTCGAGCGAACAATTTGCTCAGCTTTGCTAACTCTTCGTTTTCCTTTCAGATAACATGGCATACAAAAGAGCATCGCAACAGTCTTCGCTACATCGCTTCGCAGGCATAGATTTCGTATCACAGTTTGGAAACGATGGAGACAGAAACGGAAACTGGTCTGTATGCGCAATTACAAAAAATTCTCCTCCGCCTTGGTGGCAAGTTGATCTTGTTAATCGTGTACGTGTAAGGATGGTTATCATTAAGAGTGGAACAGTTTGGGGAAAAACAAAAATCAATCCATTCAGCATAAGTGTTGGTGATGACGAAACGAATGGTGGACGATCAAATCCATTGTGCGTATCAAATCAGAACGTAGAAAGTGGGAAAATGAAAGAAATGCATTGTGGGCAACCCCTTTTAGGGAGATACGTCAGTGTATTTATCGACAGAGCAGAGTATCTTCAAGTCTGTGAATTGGAAGTTTATGAAGGTTTGTTTCCGTTTTCAAAAGTTTTTATTTAATCCGAATCAATTTTCAAATTGTCTTAATACCATCACGTATGTATGCAAAAACTATTATTCATATCATTCAAACCTCAGCAAATTCAGAAGGCTCCAATTGTGTAGAAATTTGCTGGCAAAAGATTTCCTGAAAGCAAAAACATTCGATCGTCTAATATCAGTGACACCATTAGCCCACAGATATGTTAGTGTTATTTTTATTGTATTACAACATAACATAAAAAATAAGCTTAGGCCCTATAACATTGAAAATCCAAGAGATGAGAAAAGGTCTCTACACCTGTTATAATTTGAGTCAATCAATGTTAATTGACATAAGATCGTACTACATAAAAATATCGTACACAATATCGTACCACATAAAAATACCAACTACGTTATCTTTCTTCTTGCGTAAAAAACAGCGACTGTAAAAAGCCGTTGCTCGAGAACCTTTAGGGGTTTTAAGAAGAATGGTCTTTGATGTCGATTATTTTACAATTTTTATCTAGCAAACAAAAGCTCGTGTGTAAGTTGGTACGCTGTTGGTGCAAGGAAGAACGGCATTTATGTTATTAGCGACGAAACTGGCTTAATTCATCACGTCTACTGCGATTTCAGTTCGGAATCTAATTTTGCTTGGACTCTTGTCACTTCATTCTCCTTGGAAAACAATGACCTATTCAAAAGTAGTCAATTCTCCAAAGACGATCCCATTTCCGAGCATGAACCTAACTGGAACAAATATAGGTAGGTGTATTGATACAGTAAACTTTCGATAACTTGAAGTCCGATAATTTGAACATTCGTTAAAGTCTATTTATTATTTAGTAGGTTTTTATTGTTTTTGTTATAAAATTCTTCTTACAGCAATACTTAATTGCATATTAAGATGAAGCAAGCTGGCATCAGTGGTGCTATGGGCTCAGTGGGGTTCAGCCTATCGTTAGCGAGTTTTCAGGCACTTCATGGCATGGTTTTGGCACTGTTATAGGAATCTACTAAGCAGTTTCGACTTGTCATCTTAGTTTGATATTTTGACTTACAGATTTAGCAAAATATAGATTTTAGAGAAGTAAAATATTAAAGAATGGCTGATGCATCAAGTAATAAAATAAAGATCCCAAAACCAGAGCAAGACTTAAGATTCTTTAAAAATTGTTTAGACAGACAATATGCAGCATTTATCAGGTGTTCTTAGACCATCGTCAACATTTATTTGCGCGGATTAATTCACATGCAATGCTTAATATGGGGGTCATCAAGAAGGGGTAGAAATCCGCTGTACCCTGCAACTTTGTGGTTGAAATTTGTCGCTCCGTTCTCTTTTAGTAAGAATTTTGCTTTCCAAAATTGTTGATATGTTTTGCTTACAAGAAAAGCCAAGATTTGACCAAGTTCTCATTTACAAGACAGCAGGTAAAGAATTCCGCATATCAGAAAAATTCCCTTGTTCAGTATAATTTTCGAAAAAACGATTTGCATTCAGTAAGTGTCGAGAATTACGTAGTTCCGTCGAAAATTGGACAGAATTCCGTTGTTTCATAAACCCTAATGACCCTCTACTTAAACTAAAGCTGCGCGATTTTAGATACTGTTAATATCGATGGCACACTACCTTTGACATCTTTCTTGACAGGCTTGGAAAACCCCTCATGCAGCACATTGCATCATCCGCAACTCACTGGAGGGCTACATGCAGTTACCCTGGATATGGTGTCGATTATCGAGATTACGTGAGGGCAAAGCTAAGTGAAATAAACCCCATTACTTACCACACGTATGGTGAGTGCAGGACTGTTGAATTAATCAATATTCGAGGATACAGTGCAACTGGCCAGCTCGTTCAGTTTTGGCAATATCGGAACTTATTCCTTCACACTGATGCTAGCTATGATTCTTGTTTCGTTCTTGCCAGGCCGGGGTCCATCCCCAGTGAAGATAACTTCGGATATTATGGAACCGTAAATAAAAACTTTCGATGCACAGAAAATTCTGCTAGCACAACACAGTATTGGATTGGTGCCTCTACCCAGTCTTTAGGTCCCTGAAAGAGCCTGAATAAAGATATGCAAACAATTCCTGAACCACGAAATAAAACTGACTTGGCTACC